AAGCATGTGCTTAGGGTACCAGGTTCAAAGGGGGCACCACAAAGTTGAAAAAGAAAGAAAAAACAATGAAACTTGGCTTCATTTGTACAGTATGTACAAAGGAGGAGGGGCACCAAGATTTGCCAGTGCTTAGGGTACCAGGTTCAAAGGGGGCACCACAAAGTTGAAAAAGAAAGAAAAAACAATGAAACTTGGCTTCATTTGTACAGTATGTACAAAGGAGGAGGGGCACCAAGATTTGCCAGTGCTTAGGGTACCAGTGAGCCTTAATCTGCCACTGCTGATGCCCATGCAAAGTGGATGGGGTGGGGAAAGAGATTTGCAGGACATCTGTGAAATATTGCTTTTGTCCTTTCAGGTGCAAACACACACTTCTGTGCATGCCCTGTGGGGTGGCACAGAAGGGTGCTCCTGCCCACCTGGTCCCACCTTGCTTTTGTTCTGCCTCTACAGAAGAGCTGAAGACCAGCTCCCATCCAACCAGCCCCACTGAGAGCACCAGAGCAGGATCCACAATAAAAGCAATGCAATCAATGCAATGCTTTTGGTGGGCAATCAATGCAATGCTTTTGGTGGGCAATCAATGCAATGCTTTTGGTGGGCAATCAATGCAATGCAAATGCATGGGTGGGAAATCCTTGGCATCCCACCCACCCCTTAAAAAACACCCCCACCCCTAATTCTTTTAATATCAAAGCGCCCAGATCTCTCCTGCTTCTTACCTGGAGACTTTCCTCGAGAGTCCTACGAGCTCTGCCACCTCCGGAGTCAACGCCTTCCCTTCTCCCTGGAGGTCGGCTGGACAGGGCAGAACCGGGCAACCCGCTCGGACCTCCTCGGGCTAAGCCAACCGAGAACCGCCCCCTAAGCGGCCGGCGGCGGAGTTGGGCAGAAAGAGCGCTTGGCGGCTTCCACTCGCTGAAAGGGCTGAACTTCCGCCAGGAGGCGTTCCCTTTCTCCATTCTCGAAGAGCGGGAGCAGGAAGTCGGCTTCAAGGACGGGCGGAAGCCGGAAGGAGGGTGGCAGGTGGTGCTGTGCCCAGGATAGTCCTAGAGCGGCAACGTGCGTCCTTTTAAGGGTTTGTTTGTTTGTTTGTTTGTTTTTTACAAAAGGGAGCTCCGTGAAAGTCCTCTTGCTACTGGACTATAAGTCCCATCGGTCCCAACCAGCCTGGGAACAGGACCTGGGTCTAGGTCGCTTTCCCAAACTTAGCAACTTGGAAGATTAATGTGTCTATGGAGATTCTCAGTCATCCGGATCATCGTTTTCCCAAAGGTGCTTTTTTAAGAGGCAACTGGACTTTCTGGTTTTTCCCTTTGGGTCAGCCATGACCTGGGTGATTTAAGAATCTCTACAGACCTTTCTGCAAGGAATATAAATCCTTCCATTCCCCATTATTTTGTCAGAGCTGAAGAAACTTCTTGGATGAGAAATGAAACATCTTCAAAAGAAAAAATGAGAAAGTCCAGTTGTCTCCCGAAAAAGCACCTTTGGGACAACCATGATCTGGATGGCTGAGAATCTCTACAGAATTTTAGCTATACAATTTTGGATGAACCTCCTTTGAAGTGTGGTAGTAGGAATGGGATTTCCAGAGGAAGATTGAAGACTACAGGAACCAGAAGTACTATTCAGATGACCCTGAGGACATAGATAAACTGCCAAGTGCTTCAATAACCCTCTAAAAGGATGCAAATGAGCAGCTGTCTGCAAGGAATATAAATCTTTCCATTCCCCACTATCCTATCAGAGCTGAAGAAGCTTCTTGAATGAGAAGTGAAATGTCTTCAAAAGAAAAGAAAAAATAAGAAAGCCCAGTTGCCACCTGAAAAAACACCTTTGGGACAATCATGATCTGGATGACTGAGAATCTCTACAGACAACTTTATTGCATTTTGCCTCTCTCCTTTCCTGTTTCTTTTCTAAAGATCTTTCTGGCTCTTGCCTTTGAGCCTAATTATTGCTAATCAGGGAAAAAGAGGATGGCATAGATAATACTGTTCAAGAATATGTGGTCAGAATGAGGAAACAGGTGCCTTACGGGTAGTTTTTTATTTATAATCACAATTGGAACCAGACTTTCTGCCATAAGTTCTTGTTGTCATAAGTCAAACTGGACCCAATTTTACAACATTTTTACAGCAGTTGTTAAATGAATCAAATGGTTGCAAAGTGAGTCATGCAGTTGTTAAGCAAATCCAGCTTTTCTATGGGTGTGTTTGCCAGAAATCAGCAAAAAAAAGTCATGTGATTACAGGATGCTGCATTCAATTATAAATGTGAGCCAGTACCCAAATCGCAGTCACGTGACTGCCGAGATAATGCAACAATTGGCTGAGGTAACTTTGAACCATCATTTAATGAATAGTCTTATATCAAGGGAAATGGTCCTGTTACAGAAAGAGACAGAGATCATCGGAAGAACAAAAGCTAGAGAAGTTGATGCACCTGAAGATGGGTGGGATTTTAAGTTTGCCAAACGCAGAGCCAGTCACTGCAAGAAATATATAAATTATTAGAAATAAATGATTCAATTTTTAGGGATCTTAACCACGTTAGCAATGATGTGATTCAACAGTTATTTAATTATTTCATTTGCAGATTGGCCCAGTTTAGCTGATTCTGGGTAGTCTACATGAGCCAACCATAAGAGACTATCTCAATAACTGAAACAACAGCCTTCAATGAATTAACTATAGAAATTAAATTTGCACCTCTGAACACTTTAAAATGATCTTGAAATCCATTCATGAAGGCAAATGTGTGTTTCTGTGTGTGTGTGTGTTTGTGTGCATGCATGCACAAGTGTTTGCATTGGGATGAAATCTCTAGTGGCAACTCCCTTAGCTTCAGAGAGGAGTGATTTTGGGAACACCCTCTGCGTCTGTTTAAACAGAACAGGCAAAATTACACTTGCTACCATGGTCCTTATGTTAAAAATTAATGTTCCAGCCAGCAAGTTAGCATCTCTCAGCATCATATGGTACTGAGGACTGTTGCAAGGGGGGAAAAACACTATATAGTCTTTTAGTATTTTTTAATTAATTTATAATATAAAATACCAAAGGAAATAGTAGGAAAGTAAGGGAGGGAGAAGGGAAGGGAAGGGAAAAGTGTAAGGCAAAGGGGAAAAAAGAAAAGGCACTGACTTCTGACTCCCTTTGGTGCAGTAAAATAAGATAATAGCGTCGAACTGCAACTTTTTACTTTCACATAGTAATATAAACTAGCTGTTTCTATAATAACAAACCTATTAATTGGTAAAGCCCAAAATCAAAAGATCATTTTTCCCACCTGAAGCACAAAGTCCAAAAGTGGTTTCTAAGTAGAAACAAAATTGTGTTTTTTTTCTTTAATCAAAGAAGTCAATTTATCCATCTCTGTTAACTCCATCTTTTGCAGCCATTTACCCATTGTGGGAATCCAAGTGTCCTTTCATTTTTGCGCATAAAGTAAATTGTGGTGCTGTCGTCAATATATATAGCCAATATTCCTTTAGTATTTTGAGGGAGGACATAGTGCAAATATGACAATTAAGAAATATAATGGAAAAGGGGAATAAGAGTAATTGGATACAATATCAAACATTGCCTTGTGCATTGTAGACGTTACATCAAACAATGACTGAGTAGCCTATTTCAATACTTGTATCAAGAGGGCTTGGAAATTGCACAATTGTCCCAAAGGTGCTTTTTCAAGAGGCAACGGGACTTTTTTGCTTTTTTTGAAGACGTTTCGCTTCTCATCCAAGAAGCTTCTTCAGCTCTGACAGGTGGGGAATGGAAGGATTTATATTCCTTGCAGACGGCTGGTCATTTGCATTCTTTTAGAGGGTCATTGAAGCACTTGGAGGTTTATCTGTGTCCTCACAGCAGGGGTGGGTTTCTAGCCCCGTTCCAACTGGTTCGGTTGGAATGGAGCCGGCGGCGTCCTCGTGCACGCGCGCGGTGCACGCATGCGTACTAGCGTCTGTGCGATGCTCCAGCTGCTCCTGGAGGATTGTGCAGGCGCTGTATGTGTACTGCGCAGGCGAAGAAGAGCATAACTCACCAAAACTGGTGAAGAG